TCGAGGGGCTCACCCCCTGTCCCACAGCCTCACTGATAAACCAGGACTGCACCCTAAGACCCTCTCAGGCATCTGTGTGTCTGAGTAGGAGGCCCCCAGGGATATGCCACAGGGAGGGTGCCATTCAGAGATGTGTAGGACACATGGAAATGCTCCAACCTGGTCACAGAGTGCTTTTGGTACAAATGACCCAAATTGAGAATGTGGGTCAAAGGGCTGTGGAGCAAGAAGGGATGAGAGTGTGGTTCTGCGATGGCAGCATCCGGCCTCAGTGGGCCACAATGGGCTGTGTGGGCCCCAGTCATACTGGGTGGTGGAGACAGCACCTCCCCACCTGTAGGTATTCTGCAGCCTAGAGAAGAAGGAGGTCAGACCAAAATGACTGGGAGTGAGTCCTACCACATAGAGTGATGTGAGAGGAGAGCAAAGGGCAAGTATGCTGCTGTTCCTGGCAGAGATGAGGGAAATGAGAACGTGCAGTGTAATTGCTTATGTTGGCAAACAGAAACATGCAAGGGTGAACCAGAGCAAATGAAGTCGGTGCCCAGGCTGGGACGGTGAGCTCTGGGTGCAACTTTTTAATAGTTTTGACTTTTGGAACTGTGTTAATGTTGTACACAGATAAAACATACAGAAAGTAAGTTCAGCAAGGGTGGGGAGAATCCTAACAAAACACAGGCAGTTCTTGGGTTATAGAAGTCTGACCTATGTACAACCAGTAGTTACGAATCCCCCTTACCCCTTGCAATAAAGCCTGTTATATTAAAAATTCAAACTCACTGCCGTCGAGTCACTTCCGACTCGTAGTGACCCTCATTGGATTTCCGAGGCTGTAAATCTTTACGGAAGTAGATTGCCCCATCTTCCTTTCACGGAGCGGCTGGTGGGTTTGAACTGCTGACTTTCTGGTTAGTGGCCAAATACTATAACCACTATGCCACCAGAGCTCCTTACATTAAAAATTCCAAGTACATACAATGGTTCATAATAATAAAAGGTCATATTTCATGGTGCACATCAGAACATTATTATTATCATTGTAAAGATGTTTTGGTGTATCTGGAAATATTATTTTAATGTTTTTTATGCCTACAAAGTTATATTATATATTATATACAAACATTTGATGAAATGATGTTAGATACAGACCTAACTGTTCTGACATATGTATAAATTCAACTTCAAAACAGACTTATCCCCGTGGCTCAGCTTTCAGCCAAATAATTGACAGGCCTATAAGGTGAACAATAACACCAGGGAGGTATTCACTCATTAGAACAATCAACCCTACAAGATCGAAAAGGGAGTATTTGCCTGGGGATTTAGCTCTGAAGGCAGGAGGGAGATGAAAGAAGGAGGAATGGTAAACATAGGGAGGAAGTAGGAAGAGCACTGTTACATTTTGGGAATGGTAGTCCATGTCACAAAACAAAACATGTATGACTTGTTTGATGGAAAACTAATATACTTTGTAAACTTTGACCTAAATCCAAATAAAAAGTTATATTTAAAGAAAAGGGGCAGACTTAGGAATGGAACTTGTTCATAATCCGGGGACCACCTGGGCACAAACGAACCAGCCATATTCAAATGAATCACAACCACCCTGAAGGGAAATGAAAAACTAACCTCTGTGGCTTTGGATACAGTATTTTGATTGTATACTCTCAGTCACAAAAGTGAAAAGGGACTGTAAACAATTATTTAGGTCTAGCTGTTATGTGTGTGTTTCTCAGGGGTATGGAGTAGCAGTTCTGAAACTAATTTTGGTATATTCTAAGATTGAACAAAGAAGGAGAAATACTGAGGGTAATGGGATCTGGGTTTCTCACTGTCAATAGAAGGGAATGAAACACACAGAAAAGGGGAAATGAAAAGGAACGGACCCTGTGGTATTGGGTTGGAATTGGAGGATATGGAGAGCCCCAGGAGCTCTGGTGGCATAGTGGGTAAAGCATTTGGCTGCTAACCAGAATATTGGCGATTCAAACCCACCAGCTGCTCTGAGGGAGGAAGATGAGGCAATCTACTTTGGTAAAGATTTTATAGCCTTGGAAACCCACTGTGGTTCGCTAAGAGTCAGAATCAACTTGATGGCAGTGGGTAAGGAGCCCCAGTGGCACAATGGTTAAGTGCTTGGCTGCTAACCAAAGAGTTGGTAGTCTGAACCCACCCAGCAGCTCTGTGGGGGAAAAGTATTTGGTGATCTGGCTCTGTAAAGAGTACAACCTAGGAGACTATGGGGCAGTTCTGCTGTCTTATAGGGTCACTATGTGTTGTAATAGACTTGACGTACACAGCAGCACCAACATATCTCTATATATTTATCCTAGATGTATCTGCCAAGAGGTCCTAGAAGCAATGACAGTTCATTGTCAGTAAATACACCCAGCACCCAGATTTTGGCTTCTATATACCATTCTTAGTTAAAAGAAAATAGGGGCTTCTTGGAGAAATGGCTGATTCCATGACTGGGTTAGCAAAAGTACGAGATGAGCCTAGACCATCTTATGCTAGAACATAAACATATGCTCAGAAAACGATGGGGGACATACCAACAGGACATGGAAGCCACTTTGAAGGGTTCTCACAGGCTAAATCTTGGACAACTTGAGCATCAAATAGTTGATGGTAACTCCTTTTTGTGACTCATGTAAACAGATAATGGAGAGTATGAGCACTTGAAAAGGAGTAGCCATCATCTGTGACCAGTGACCAACCTGGAGAGTGACGGTCCCCATGAAGGGGGTGCCCCAGGATGGGGGCACTGTGGGCTGCAGGTGGGCACGTGGCAGAGATGATGCATCCCTACTCGGAACAGTGAGGACCAGGGTGTCTAGCTATTGGGTTCTGATTCTAGTCTGTCCTTCTTGAATCTGTTCATTCATCTATATTTCTGGTGGGCAGGGACAGGGTTTCTGCAATTGTCTAGAAATGCAGCAGTTGGCTCCTCTGTGAATGGTAATTGATGACATTGCATCTGAAATCTTGGGTTATTCTTCAACTGTGTGTGCAGCCAGATGTGTGTTACTACAGCCATATGCACTGTTTGTGCAAACTACAGCCATGTAGACTGCATGTGCACAGATTACAGCTGTGTAGACTACGTGTGTATAGACTGTATAGAGACTATAGCTGTGTAACTATGTGTGGATAGATTACATACGTGTAGACTATATGTGTAGACTACCTACATACAGACTACATGAGTGTGGACTATTTATATGGACTAAATGTACATGTAGACCATGTGTGAGGAGACTACACGTACGTATACCATATACGTATAACTACACACATGTAGAACACATACATGTAGATATCTGCATGGACTACATGTACATGTAGACTGTGTATATGTAAACTTGTGAGAGACTACATGTGTGTATACTATGTGTAGACTATATACATGTAGGCTGTGTGTGAGGTATGTGTGTGGTCTACCTGCATGTGTAGACTGTATATAGACTGAGGAGAGTACATGTGTGTAATGTGTGTATACTGTGTGCAGACTATATGCATGTGGACTATGTGTGTGTAGATATGTGTGTGGACTACATGCATGTGTACATGCCCATGCTGAGTTGGGCTGTAGACCAAGCATCCTCTCAGTGCCCATATTGAGCAAAGTGCTTCGCTTTCATCAGTTTACATAACTAACTCAACGAGGCAAGTTAAGTTAGAAAATGGGGCCACAGGCATGGAAGTCACTCTTCTCTGGTACCAACGGTTAGAATCAGCAGACAAGATTCAAACTCCAAAGCCTGCACTCTGGCTACTCTACTACTCTTATACTAAACAAACCAAACTCATTGCTGTCAAGTTGGATTTGACTCATAGCGACCCCTCCTTGGGATTCTGAGTTGGTATCTCTACGGAAGTAGATCGCCCCATCTTCCTTCCAAGGAGTGGTTGCTGGGTTTGAACTGCTAGCCTTCTGGTTAGCAGTCAAATGCCTTAGGCACTACGCTACCAGAGCTCCTACCACTTCCATACGTTTCTCTTTTTGTTCTTTAAATTTTATTTATTTTGTTGTCGAGAATCTGCACGGCAGAATATACACCAGTTTAACAGTTTCTCCACGTACAATTCACTGGCACTGATGACATCCTCAAGTTACCTTCTTCTGCCATTCTTACCTTCCTTTTCAGAGTTGTTCTTCCCATTAATAAACTCACTGCCCCCTAACCTTCCTGTCTCCTCTTTCAAGTTGCTGTTGTCAGTTTGATCCCACTTTGTCCCTTTCTTTATCAGCTCTTTCTACATGAGGACGAGGTGATGGATCTTGTTTCCCCTATCCCCAGGCCCCTGTCCCATCTCTGTCACTGAGGCCAGTGGAGCTGGGCATAGCTGGTGGGGCCATGTGTGAAGGGGATGAGGCAGACCCTGATTTGGGGGTTCTGGTCTTGGTGCTACCCCAGCCTCCCACTGTGGCTCATGTGCAGCACCCTAGGTCCACTGTGGCATCTGAAGGGATGGTCCTGGTCGTTGGCTTTGTTATGTGTGAAGTCGAGGATGGTCTGTGCCATTGGAAGGCATGTGCGTGTGCCATCCTTGCTAACCCAGAGGCCACATGCTTGGTCCCAGCCATGATGGTTAAGTTGAGATAGGCTAGGTACTGCTGGGAAGGGCATGGACAGACTGCAGTGGATGGCCATGTTTGCCAAGGGTGCTGTCTGTAGGCTCTGTGCCAAAGAAGGTGGAAGACAGTGTGGCTTCTCTGTGCAATGAGGCCTCTTTGGGTTTTGCAGCTTTGCAGTGGGGAGACCAACAAGTCTGTTGTGGTTAAAAACATGGGCTGTCAAGCTGGATGCCTGGTCAACCCAAAACAGCTTCTCCCAGCCTGGGAACTGGGACAGTTTGATAGGCTCACTGAGCCCATCTCCTCATCTGTGAAATGGGTGCATTCTCATGTGCCTTGGCAGGCAGCAGCAGGAGCTTGGTGCAGTCATTGTTGTTAGTATTAATAAGTTTTAAATTTTTGTCTTTCTCTTCTCCAGTTTCTGTGTCTGAAGAACATCCGCACCTTTCTTAAAGTCTGCCATGACAAATTTGGACTAAGAAACAGTGAGCTATTCGATCCCTTTGATCTCTTCGATGTCCGTGATTTTGGGAAGGTGAGTAACTCCTCTGGGTTTTGTTACTGCAATGTGGTATTCTGCAGCCAGCTCAGCTGCAGGTGGACCAGATGGATGGAGCAGGCCAGGCACCTAGACTGGCTGAGTGGCTTTTTCCATTCTTGTCCGGCCGGGATGTGTTACAAGCAGGGGGTGCAGTGGGGGTGGGGGCGGCCACCCTGGGTAGGATGGGGTGGTGGCTGTCAGTTCTTGTTGAGTCTGCTCGGATTCCTGGAGACCTTGAGTACAACAGAGTAAGATGCTGCCTGGTCCTGCACCATCTTCCCGATCTCTGGCAAGCTTGAGTCCACTGTTGTGGTCATTGCTCAATCCATCTTGTGGAGGGTCTCCCTCGTCTTTACTGATCCTCTACTTTACCAACCATGATGTCCATTTCTAGTGATTGGTCTTTCCTGATGATGTGTCCAAAGTAAGTGAGTGGAAGTCTTGTGTCTAAGGAGCATTCCATTTGGTTCTCTATGAGGTTGGTTGTTGTGGATCCAGAAGGGGAAGGGAGGCAGGGCATGGACCACACACAAAACTGGGATTGAGCCGGCCCACATTTGTCCCATTAGCCACCTGGGCCTGGTGATGCCTCCCTTAGTCCTGGCTCCTCCAGGGATTCAAGGCCTCTTGGAAGCCCATCTCTTGTTGGGTTGTCCAGGTATCGGAGAGTTTATTTGTCCTTCAGTCATGTACTTGAGCCCCTCCTGTTGCAGGGCCATTGCCTGGTCATCTGATACCTGCCTGGTGGTGAGAGTCAGGCTTCCCCCCACAGTGGTACTGCTACTGGAGTGGGACTGACAGAGACTTGAGAGAGCCGTGCTGGTGCCCTTTCTGTGAGTGGGCTTCCTGATGCCTTCAGATTTACTTTAAATAAGTTGGAACCTCTCTCTTATCCTTTATTTCTGAGGACAGCAGAGGAGAATCCATCCAGCTGTATCGCTCTGGGTGCCAGCTGGGCCAGCCTCAGAATCTTGACTCTGGAGAAAGGGCCTTCAGAACACATGCCTTCACATGAGCACATGCACACACACTCACACTCTTATAAATCCACACATACTGGGATACCTTCACATATATATATATATACTTACTTACACACACATTCATATATATACTTTTGCTTAAGTGTCCTGTCAAACATACATAGTACACCCATGCTCACATATACGTACACTCATATATTCTCACCATACATACATACTTATGCACACTCTTACAAATCCACACATGCTGACACACATTCATGTATATACATATGTGTACATATACACTCATATATATGCTGTCACTTATTGTTCTGGTTACCTAGTGCTGCTTTGACAGGAATATACCACAAATGGGATGGCCTTAACAAACAGGAGTTTATTCTCTTACAGTTTGGTGGCTTTAAGTCCAAGTTCAAAGTGCCAGGCTCTAGGGGCTGGGTGAAAGTCCCTCAGCCTTGGGCTTCAGCTCTGCCTCCAGCTCCTGGCCCACTGAAGCTGGAGTCTTTTCTTCACTCAGCTGCTGGCTGCTGAGGCTGACAAACCCAAGGTTGACCAGTAAAAAGGCACAGTCCCGATGTTACCAAACCACATGGCAGGCCATTAACTTAAGTCCATTGTAAGTCCCAAGGTCAGCAGAGCTGGGCTGCTGAGCAATGACATGGCTATATGCAGGATCCAAGCGTGCCATAGGCTAGAAATCATTCCCAAAGCTTCTTATATACAGGCAGCAGACTACATCCCAAAGGCAGTTACTCAGCTGCTTGTGGTAGATCCCACCATGGAGCTGATTGCCAGTCTCATCATGGGGAATAACTACCACCAGCTTCCCAGCCACTGAACCAGGCCCAGCCAAGTTGACACACAAACATAACTACCACACTTATGTTCACTCTCAAACACGTATAATGCACACTCAAACACACACACTCATACACACTGACATTCACATCCATACATATTACATACATACATACTCTCACTAACGTTCACTCTCATACACGATATATACATACACACAAACTCACATATGCACATACACATGTTAAACACTCATACAGATGTGCACAGGCTGATACACATTCACATCCACACATATATGTACATGCACACTCATACATACATACTCACTTATGTTCACTCCCAAACATATGTAATGCACATTCACATAACACATGCACAGTCATACATACTCTCACACTCAGTGTACTCATACAAATGTACATATGCTGACATGCATTCATACACACACATGCATGTACATACACACTTATACATATATTCTCTCTTATGTCCACTCAAAAATATACAATACACACACACACACTCATATACCTACATTCATGCGCACTCATACAAATCTATACACACTAATATTCACATACACATATACACGCATACACACTCATACAATACTCTCACTTATAGTCACTCCCAAACACATAATGCATACTCACACACATACTCATACACACTCAACACTCATGCACACTCGTACAAATTCATACATTCATAATTACATTCACACTCTGGCACATGTACACACTCACACACTCACGTGCACACACATACACATCACTCTCACATACACTTTCACACACATATATATACACACTCATGCATATGCATATAAATGCACACATTCACACATAAACATATTCACACCGATATAGGTACACACGTGCACACACACATACACTAGTATAGATACACATTCTTTTAACTCACGTTTACACATATTCACATACATATAATCATACACACACACACTCATACACACACACACACTCAGTCATGTATACAATTGGTATTTAAGGTAATTATACAGAGAAAAAGACAGGAAAACCAGGGCCAAACCCATTCCTTGGCCAGTGGTTAGCTTTCAGAACACCCAGTCTGTAATTTCATTTTGCTTTTTAGTTTGTTGCAGCCACATGCAATGATGTCAGATGTGCACACATTTGGCATAAACGCTCATCAGCTGACCTGCCAGCTGTGGCTATGGGATTTGCTAAGGAAGCCTCATCACGGATTGTGCTATGTGGCAAGGTGGCTTCAGCTCCTGGTGATGGGCTGTTCAGGTCTGCTGCCTGCTGGCCTTGGCCCACCCTTGCTACAGTGTCTGCCTGGGGAGTCCGGGATTAGGCCATGGTTCTGGAGCAAGAGTAATGACATGGGACCTAGGACTAGGACTAGGACTTGGGCTTCAGCTCTGTTGAGAACCAAGGCTCAGAGAAGGGAATGACTCAGGGTGAGTGTGTGGCAGTGCAGGGCTCTCCTGAAGCTGCTGGTGGCATTGAACTCTGAGGTCAGCTGGCCTGGTTTTGAATCCTGGCTCCATCCTTACTGGCTGCGTGGCTTTGGGCAAGGAACATGGTGGCTCTGACCCTCAGTCTCAGTGGCTATGAGAAGTGATTGGGAGAACTGAGTGATGAATGCATAGGAGGCCCTCAGCATGGTGCCTGGCGCTTAGTAGGTGCTCATCAAGTAGCCATCAGTTTGTTGTTATGGGTCCCCCTCCTTCCTAGGCTTGCTTAAAACCAACCCAAACTTTCAGTGAGAGATGGTGGGTGCCTCTTTGTTATTTTTCATTTGTTTCAAAGAATTTATTTTATTTTCATTAGTCATGTTGAGACTATGCACAGCAGAACATACACCAATTCAACAGTTTCTGCATGTCCAGCTCAATGACACTGATGACATATTTTTGAGTTGTGCTGCCATCTCACCGGCCTTTTCTGAGTTGTTTCCCCTCTGCTATCCTGAACTCACTGGCCTCTTGTCTTATTTTTTTCTCCATTATTTTATCCTCAAGTCATCACATCTGCTGCTTTGGAAGAAGAGAGTGCTTGTTGAGTGTATGGACTCTCTAGCCAGCAGTCTGGGTTCAGTCCCAGCTTGGCTGTGATGCGTGTGTGACTCAGTTTCCCCAGCCCCATTTGTGAAATGGTGATGCTGAGCTCTCCCTCCAAGGTCAGTTGAGGAGGAGGGTGTCTTAGTCTCCTAGTGCTGCTATAACAAATACCACAAGTGGGTAGCCTTAACAAACAGAAATGTTTTTTCCCAGTTTTTTGTTGTTGTTGTTGTTGTTGTTATGTGCTGTCGAATCAGACCTGACTCATAGCGACCCCTCCTTGGGTTTCTGAAGCGGTATCACTACAGAAGTAGAATTGCCCAACCTTCCTTCCGAGGAGTGGCTGGTGGGTTTGAACCGCCAGCCTTCTGGTTAGCAGTCAAGTGCCTTAGGCACTATGCTACTAGAGCTCCTTTTCCCAGTTTAGGAGACTGGAAGTCCAAGTTCAGGGCACTGAGCCTGACTCTCTTGCCCGTCTGTCTCTGTGATCTGGCAATGTTTCCTTGTTTTTGTCTCTGCCTTCCCTGTGTATTTCTCTTCACCTAGTGGACCTTTGAAGCAGGGCCAGCTGAGGCTCAGGCGTTGGGATCGCTCTTCCCAAGTGGATGCCTTTGTCTGAGCTGGATTGTTTTGCTTTGCTCAGTCTTACTGTTTTTTTTTCTGAGACAGGCTCCCCTGGACAAATAAAGCACAAATAAAGCCCTCGCCCTTCCCTGCCACACTACACATAGGTATCAGACATCGAGACCTTATTGCTGGAGAGTGGGGCTGGGCAGGGGCATTTGGTCCAACCCTGCAGTGGATGGGGGAGAAAGGAAGGCCAGAGTAGGGAATGGACCCGGACCACAGAGAACCCAGAATCACAGTGAACCTGGACTACAGAGAACCTGGATCCACAATGAATGGGGAACCACTGAGTGCCTGGACTTCAGAGAACCACACTGCTGCTTGAGAGTAGGGCTCAGCCCTCCTTCTTCTGCCCCTGGAGCTCATGTTAGGGAGCAGGTCCAGAGAGCAGGCTGTTAACTGTGCTTCCTCACTAAGGTGCTGCCTTCTGAGGATGGGCTGGGAGAGGAGGTCCTGGTGCATAGTTCCCTCTGGTCAAAGAGATGAAGAACACAATGGCCCAGTCCCTTCTCCTGGCCACCCACCCCCTT